CTCTTCATTATATTCTGGTGTGAACCAGCAGCTCCCCGCTGGTGCTTGAGAACCCACAATAACAAGGTGACAATTGCTCGACAATTAGCTGTCTAATTTGCATCCGGGGAATTCAGGGCGGAGGGTGAAGGGACCCCGCCCCGCCGCCAATGTCTAGCTTATTTTCCGAATCAGTTCCGGAGACCGCCGCACGATAAACAAAGGTAATAAATATCATTAAAAAGGCCACACGTACAGGGCCTTTGTGAACTCACACTTGCTGGCGCGATGCTCGAGGCGAGGGGGTGCAGCGCGCGGGAGGGGAAGGGTTCTTCGGCGCTGACCCGCGGTCCGCCACGCGACCCTTCATGACTGCTTGTCAAGCGGTACCTATCATCATTCCCCCGCTCTGTGATTAGCTTGCTAATTCTGTTTGTCGCCGCGATAAAAACAGATATAAACAGAACAGAAAAAAATTGATTTGCCCTTCCAGTCCGAGTTACCCTCAACCCTCTCCGCGGTGCTTTCATTCCATGTCCGTCAAAAGTTCTGGGATCCGGAGCTCTTCTGTTCCAATTTCTCCTACTCCATGACCGTCAAAAGCTCCGGGCTTCTTTTCAGATTTTTTCAAAAGTTTGGGAAAGTTCCGGAAATGCAAACAATCCGAACATGACAGGAATTTCAAAAGTTAAGGTGATTCGTCTAGCTCAAGGGACGTGGTCGAACTGGCATGCGACATATCGCATCGATTCGGTCAAAAATCTTGGCAGATTTTGAATTTTTAGCAAAAAATAGGACGATAGCCCCTGCGCATGAGCCTGAAGAATCATTCTAAACCTAAAAATTGGCAAAATTCAGAGAAATGAAAGCAGAATAGTGTTTGGGGGAAAAAAACCTCGCATTCGATTCGGTTATCGATTTCTGTATCGAATGCGAGGTTTTTTTCCAAACACTATTCTGCTTTCGTTTCTTTAAATGTTGCCCATTTTTAAATTTAGAATGATTCTTTAGGCTCATGCGTAGGGGCTTTCGTCTTTTTTTTGCTAAAAATTCAAAATCTGCCGAGTTTTTTGACCTACAGATTGTCTAGTATGGTCATGTAACTACAAAGAATGTCAAATTAAAAAAAAAAATGAAGCGGAGGGTAACGTAAGTTTCTAGTTAAATTTTCAAGTTAAATCCGCTCACCTTATGAAAAGAGGAATCGGATTTACCTCTAAAAAATCCTAAGAATCGTCTTTACAGGTTTAGAAGAAATTAAGATGAGAAAAAAAAGGAGGAAAAAGCCACCTTAACTATTAAGCCAAAAGAGGGACCGACATTGAGGCATCTACATAGGCAGAAAATTGATGGGAGGACGCGCGCGATGAGTGACAGGCGCAGGGATACAACTATTCGTCCTCCATGGATGTCCGTGTTGCATATGCAAGAGATTGAAGGCACCCGGGCTTTGTTACGTTTTTAGTAGTGTGTTGCTACGTTGTATAATCAACAAAAAGTTGCTCCGGACTAGAAAACGAAGGTTGAACAAGAATGTAACTGTATTCTTGAATTTTGTGAGACACACTTTCAATTTTTTGCATCTAATCTATAATTCCGACCTGCCATCAGACCAAGATGTTTTATCCAAGTCCTTTTTTTCTTACTTACGAAAAAAATCACACGATGCATCGTGTGATCATGAATCGTAAAATGTTCACGTTGCAATCTAAAATCAAAGCATCTTTAGTTACGTAATTGAGGCGATACTATACTTATCTATGAGAACCTATGACCAAAGTGTAATGGTATCAGTACCTTCGAATGAAATTTTGCAGATTTCCGCTCATATCTCATTTTTGGGGGAAAAACTAACCTAGAGTTTTCCCTGAGATTCCCTGTGAATTTTCTCTCTACCTTTTAAATACACAGTGAAGATTGTAAGAGGATATTTGGAATACTTTTCTTTCAAAATATTGAACGTATTCAGGTATTTAGTAACGATGTGGAAGAGACACAGTTCTCGACTTTAATCATCGATATCCTGCCCATGCATTCTCTCAATTATTTCAGGATTGGTTTGGCCGAATTTTGCGATTATATCACTTATAAATTGTGTATTTTTTCTAAGAGAAAAGGAACGCGCATAATATTCCGATGGCGTTTGCGACATTAAGGATAAAAAGAGAGTAAATCGGAAGAACTTCGTTCAGCGTGAGCTTTACCCCCCAACCCTGAACCCCTTCTTTCACAGGCCTGCAATTTATGGACTAGGACCGGGTAATTGTTTCTGGGGGACGGACGAGGGAGCCTGGGGGAGGGGGAGGTGGGAGGTTAGGGGAGGCTGCTCCAGGGAGTGCAGTTGAGAGGTGGTCTGTCATGAACAGACCCGGAGTTAGGAGGAGCGTCGAGCGCTATGAGATAAAATCGATCGCGCCAGTGTACGGAATGGACTCCATTCTGCGGTCGGGACAGCCTTTTTGCCGCGCCAGAGCGATACTACCGTTCTGAGGAAAAACGCCGTATGAACCTTCAGACGTTGCCGAATTCCCTTCGAAAAAAGGCGAATCTCATGGGAAAGCTGTGGTTATTATTCTTCCAATTTTTCAGAAATTTTTTTTCCGCAGTTAAATTTGAAATATTTGAAAATTTCAATGGTAAGTATTAGTAACTTTCCTCATAAATACACGTTTTATCCGGAGAAATTCGGCAACTCTCGAATGTTCATACGGCGTTCGTCCTTAGCATGACAGAGTAGAGCAGACTTTCCTCGAGCATGATAAAGACTAATATCAGAGCAAAAAAGTGAAAAAGAGGAAGAAAGTGAAAAATGTCTCAGACTTGGGATACTGTGTCCTTCGTGTATTTTAATCCCTCTTGTTCGAAGTTAACCTCCGCTTCGCCCTATTCCTATTACTCAACAGTTTTTCGAAATAGCGGATTGTTGCCGGGAAAGCTGTTTTTCCCGCTTCGCAGTAAACAAGGTAAAGAATTCTTAGGGTCTGTATCTAAAGGAAAAGTAATAGTGTATTTTGGGTCACTGAATCCATAAGTGACCTCGGATTGTTGTTATCGCCTTCTTAGAGAAAAAATTCAAAGTAATTTTTTACACGCTTCAAAAAGCAGCAAAAGAAACTGTCTAATACTGCAGAAGGGAGATAAGAAGAGGTTGGTGTCATTATCGGATTTAATGGCTCAAAATACACCGCTTTAAAAAACAGATCGGCCTTCGTTTTCCGCAACATTTTCCGCGCAATGACTAAAAGAGTTTCCCGCAACATATTTCCAGCAAAAATCGGCTACTTCGGAAAACTGGTGAGCCATAGGAAAGAGTGGGCATTGTTTCCGGACTTCGGGGATCAATTCGCCAGAGCGGCTTTGTTTTAAGTCTTATTCTAAATCTAATGCTTTATTTCCTCTCATAATTTATTTTCTCCAAAGTAATGTAAAGAAAATTCTGGCTTGTAATTTTGTGGATAGAGTATTTCATAATCTGAGGGAACTCCCGGAAAGTCTAGCGCCATTATGTTGCTCCGTTTTTAGGGGAAAAATAAAAGACGAGAGGAAATTCGGTAACATAAGATGAAGTTTCCGGGTAGATCCTTCCATCTCATCAAAGGACAAATCTAATTTGCTTCTAGAACGCTCTAACGATGGTCTTTACAAGTTTAAGAGAAACTATATAGGGAGAGAAAAAGAGACAATAAAAAGCCACTAAGAATACAGTGCCAAAAGAGTGACGGACGGAGATACTGCTGTGCAAAGGAAAAACTCCGTATGAACCTTCAGGCGTTGCCAAATTTCCTTTGGTAAATCACGAGTTTGCGAGTTTGTAAATAATTTTCTTCCAATTTTTCAGATGATTTTGTTTGCAATTTTACCTACAGTCCTTGAATATTTCTCGGAAAAATATTCATAACTTTCCTCAAAAGTAAACATTTTATCGAAGGAAAGTTGGCAACTCGCGAATGTTCATACGGTGTTTTTCCTTAGCACGGCACGGCAGAGTACAGGCACCCATGGACAGTAAATTGATGGGAAGAGGCGCGTGAGTGACAGGCGCAAGGACACAACTATTCGTACTCAATGGATGTCCATGTTGCATATGCAAGAAATTGAAGGCGCACAGGTTTTCCTTCGTTTTCAGTATTTCAGTAACGCGTTGCTGCGTATACGACCAGGAAAAAGTTGCTTAAAACTTGAAAATTAAGGGGGACTTAAAGGATCAAAATACACTAGAGAATGCGCGTCCTAAATCTAGGACATTTTTCACCAATTTTTTGGTTGCTTAGTGTTGAAAACTGACTGTGAGTGTCGATAGACTTCAAGAAAGGACATTTTCAGATTGAGCATTTTCTGGCTTGTCGAACAGCTTTCTGCTGAGATGCAAGGCAAAAAGGAGTGATTCTTACCCACGATGTTTCAATCTCAGTTGAAGTACCCCAGTTTTTTTCTCGGACGTAAAGGTCCTGAAATCTTCATTTCAAAGGTCGCAGGACTCGTGTGGTAAAAAAAAATCAAGCAACCGAGAAAAACTGCTGTCTCCTTCTTAAAATTCCTAAATATTTGTGAATACCTAGATAATTTTCACGGGTTTATTTTCCCGGTTTTTTTTAGCCCTGAGGACCCCCATTATCGTCGAGCTTCACCAAGGGGAAATTAAATAACTTAGATCAGCTTAGTCCAAAGAGTAAATCACTATATTTTTAGACTTTTTCATGCGATTCAGCTTTTTTCAGACTTTAAAAGCGTTAATTAGGCGTACTTTACTTTCACCCATCGCCATTGCACGCTTTCTTTCAGATTTTGCGAGAAAATACGTCAGATGGAGATATTTTTTGTTACATCAACCCTCTTTTCACAAAGAATGGCTTGAAGTGACAAAAAAATACCTTCTTTTTCGAAACAGAGGAGAAACAGGGAGAGAGAAGGTGAAGAGGGGGGGGAGGGAGGGAGGGAGAGAGAGATCCTTAAGACTGGACTGGAAATGAGGAAAAAATAGAGAAAATAGTAGATTAAAGTTAACACGACTTCATTAAAAATCAATGATTTTTTTTATTTTATTTTTTAGAACAAGATAGAAAGATAGATTTTAATAAGTTATCATAATCAGTCGATTGAATTCAAGTAATAATAATGATGATGAAAAAATGAGGGGTTATAAATCATGGTCGAATTACCTCAACAATATATAAAAAAAAGTAGAAATCCTCCTTCAAAAATACTTATCAAAACATGGTCATAGAAAAAACTCAAATATAAATTGGAGATCATTTTAAAATAATTACGAGGAAGAAGGATCTAGATGAACGATTGTTCGACAGAACAAAACAGACTGGTGAGTTCGATACAAATGAAAAATGAAAAGGAAAAAAAAACGAAAACAAAAAATCGGAAAAAACCAAACAAATAACTTCATGATTAGAATATAGGATTATATCTTCATGGATGGAAGCATTAACTTGCAAAAAAGTATTAATGCATAGGTAATAAAGATATTTTGATCTTACAACACAACAAAGACATACAACAATAACAAGAGGTCACATGGAGATTCTATACATAAAAGAGGCAGCATTAGGTTGTACTAAATAACAAACAAAAAAGAAAATATAGGTAACTTGTCAAAATCAAGGACGAAATCAAAATACACCTACAACTTTCTGCTCTAATCTATACGATTAAATTCAATAACATGAAATTCCACAAGATAATGGATGAGAAAAAAAGGAAACATGATTCGACATTTTTTTCGTAAATCAAATAAAAATTGAATGGTCAGGCACTACGCCACTGAATGAGTAATGAAAGCTCCACTCACAATCAGCTAAGAACAAAAAAAAAAGAGAATACTAAACCCTGAATAGGTAACGGCACACTACATGAAAGACAATTAAAAGAAAATAAACTTCAAAATAACAGTCAAAAAAAGGTACAGAAAAATATTAAGTGATTAATGCAGAGACGCTCAATTGTGACATTATGATGTTGTGCAAGGCAAATGCATTAAAAAAGTGCATTCACAATCGCTAACAATCGCGATCAGAAAAGAAGAATCTTGTCATGATTTGCGTTCTTTGGCAGAGTCAGAATAACCAACACTTTAATGTCCGAACACTGTCACTTTCATTTCAGTCGATTTTCGTTTGAACCTGAAAACAAATACAGAAACCTAAGAATCAGTTATGGAGGATTGAACCTAACGAAAGGTCTATGCATTTTGAATTGTAATACAAACGCTCTCCAGTGCTAGTTCTCATTAAGAGAACTTCAACCTTTTCGTCTAATTTTTTTTTTTTTTTTTGTGATAAATTATACCTCATTATATTGAATTTATTTCTGTTCTCAAGAAAATTTTCCCAGAGAGCTATCCCTTTTTTCCTTCCCCTAACGCTATATCATCTTAAGTTTTGGAATTCCAGTTACTGCATTTTCAATGATCTGCCAGCAATTTTGTTACACAAAAGGAACCGTTAAAACGTGACCAAATTTATTTTTTCATAGAATATTTGTAAAAATTTTCAGATAGGTATGTCTACGTACTTAAAATTCATATCATATTTTATAGAAATTCATCAAATCATTTACTCTGAATTACCATAAAAAAATTATGGAAAAATAGAACTTTACGTTCTGATCAGTTTTACTATGCGACCAACTGGTTGTAAAGTGAATGAATCTGAATCTGAGAAAAACAACCTGCGAAATACTCTGTGATTATTTACTGGTTGACTTTAATTCCCAAATTATGTGATATGAAGTTAACAAGCTATTATCTCAGCTCATAATCGGGTTTTTGCGGGGGAAAATTGGTAAGAGCATAAAAATTGTAATTTTTAACGATGTTTTGATCCTCTCAATCTTCACAATTTGTTTTGAAATTCGATAAGATTCACGACTTGTAGCTGAACAACCACAAATTATACACGTGCAGCCAAAGGAGTCAAAACCTATGAAGCGATGTGGGGTAACAGAATTAGACTGCTGAGCGCCGGGCTCGAGACTCAGGCCACATGCCACAAATAAAAAGAAAAAAGATGAAAATGAACAAGGAACACAAAACTTTGGTTTGGCGTGACCAAAATTTAACTAAAAGAAGACATTACCGACCCGAACCGATGAAAGATGGGGGGGTAATCCGCAAGGATTACCCCCAAAAAGGGAACAAATCGAGAGCAAAAACTTACACGCACATCCAGGAAGAGCGAGGTAGAGACGAACTGAGAGCACTCTCGACCAACCAGAAAGCAGCACCTATGGCGTCACTTTCTGGGTTCGAGAGTGCTCCCACGGGATTGGCTGCCATCCTGGAGGGCGCCGAATTGATAATTTTTTTAAATTTAAAGGTGACCATACTACACCTAGTACCGGCCGAAACGAATTTTGGAGATCAAGACTGCCTAAAATTTAAAACCACTTCCTCCACTTTTTCATCTGTGTATTGGCCACTGCAATGATTTTGTATAGGATGAAACAGGATTAATGCGTAAAAATAAATTGAAATGGAGAAAGCGCCCTTCAAGTATTGCATAAGCCATTTAACGGGAGGGGCGAGGGACCTGTGCTTGCCTCACTAGGTTCTACAAAAGAGTAGGGGGTCAAGCCCAGTCTTGCGTAAGCCTTCCATTTTTAGAAAAATAAAGGGTCTTCGAAGGTAGAAAAGTTAATTAATAAAAAGAAATTTTTCACTTTACATGGGCTCTTTCCGTTATTTTTCGAAAAATAAGGGGGAGGGGGGGTTTCAGGGGAATCTAAAGTAATTCAGAAGGCGGGAAAGGGAAATTATCTAATGAGTAGAATTTATCTTACAACAGGGCGAAGGGCCGAAATGCCTTGCGTAATACTTCAACGCTGCCATGATAGAGAAGAGAGCAGTCTGTAAAGGTCAAATTTTCGAAATCGAATTTCCTTAAAAATTCGTCGAAACTCTTTTAGATGAAATTATTGAAATAGCTACGATAGCAAAACTCATCGTAATACCTGGTATAAAGACGAGACATATGGGAAAGCAGTAAGTGCGCAAAAAATGACGTAGTTTCAGGCAAGACAGTAGTCAGTGACATTATTCCTCTGGAGAGCCAATGAAAACAGTGCTTTCAAGTAAAGTGTCACCCTCTCCTGCCAATTTTGAACCTGAAAATGTGTTTGTTGTGTGTACAAAATGCAACCACGAAAGCATGCAGAAGATACCACTGACGGCTATCTTGCCTAACACTAGTCTAACACAAGAATGAAAAATATCCCTTTCATGCGATTGAAATAAAACCGGTCAATTTTCAATCAACCAAATGATAATTCTAATGACCATCTCTATAATAATTTCCTTTGAATAGAGTCTTGATACAAAAGGAAGAGCACATAAAATTATTCTTGCTGCATTAAAAGAAATGTTTGTTACTAAAAGGTTTATTCTGGTTGTACATATTTTTCGGATGATTAGTGGCAATTTGACAAAGAACGGAGGCTTTTTTCAATAAAATTTTCCGGCCAAAAGCTTCTGAGCCTGTTTTCTCAAAACTTCATTTTTGCACTTACTGCTCTTTTCACTATCACGGCAGAACGGTGCGGGTACCTTTGAGGGTAAAAAGAGAATAATTTCTTACGTCAGCAAGTATGAGGACGACTACGACTGATGAGTGGTGAGAATTGGAGATTAAACTTCGGTGCCTGTCCCATCGATGCGAACCTGAATTAGGTAATCGTAGTCGGAGCTGGAGGGATCCTCTTCTGTCTGAGATGCTACGTATGCTGGTGAGTATGGGTCAACGACCGCGTTGCTTTCACTCGTTAGAGGCTCAACTTCGTCGCTCTGCACTCTCATGCAAGACCAAAACCCGAATCTCTTACTCCTCTTTGATTTCTTGGCCTGTTTCTGTGGAGATATTTAGAAAGCTATCTTTCAGTAAATGATTATTTGAAATGAGATGCAGAGTATCTACCGATTCGGGAGTAAAATTTGTCTGACTTTTCCAAGTTTTACGGTGATTCCATGTAAGTTATGGTGAATTCGTTTTTCGTAGGTTAATCTTGCTTAAAACAAATCGGGGAACATTCCTGTTAGCTAGTAATTGAAGTCTCGATAATTTTCAAAAATGTCATAAATCAGAAAAACATCGGTAAAATACAAAATTAAATTATACCTAGATGACACATGCAGAGTATCTACAGATTCGGGGGTAAAAGTATGACTTTTCCAAGTTTCATAGTGATTCCATGTAATGTATAGGGAATTTTTTTTCGTAAGTTAATCTTGGTTAAAACAAATCGGGGAACATTCCTGTTAGCTAGTAATTGCAGTCTCGATAAGTTTAAAAAATGTCATAAATCAGAAAAACATCGGTGAAATCTAAAATTAAATTGTACCTAGATGGCACCCTGGATATAAAAAGTGCGCCATTTCTTAGGGTTTAACGAATTCGCTGGAAATATCGCGTACTTCCCACGATATTCCGATACAATTCGCGTAATTTCGCACTTTCTGATCATCGGAAATCAAGCGAGCAACTATTCGAACTCCGGAGTAGGTATGTGGTATCACGCGAAATTGAAGGAAAATCTTAGCGTTTCGTCTGTCTCAAATTACTGACGTTATGACTATCATGCTTGCAACGATGAGAACCATCGCGTATTTCCCGCGATATTGAAGTGAATAACGCATAATTTATAACGATTTTAAAAAACCGATGGAAAACTTGTGTATCTGCAGCGATGTTGCGGTGATTATCGCGTAATATATAATTTAATTCTTCAAAACCGCCCGAAAAATCGCGCATTTTCTGCGATATCCAGATGAAAAGCACGTATTTTCGCAGGATTTAGCGAATTCGGTGGAAATATCGCGTACTTCTCGCCACATTGTTGTGAATATTGTGTGATCTTCATTGCTTTTAATAAACCAATCTAAAATTTGCGTATGTGTCGCAATACTTAAGGTGAATAACGCGTAATTTATAATGATTTTACAAAACTGATGAAAATTTTGTGTATTTGCCGCGATCTTGCGGTGATTACTGCGTAATTTCTTATTTGTTTTCAATATCCTTCTAAAAATTTCCGCGATACTGTGACAAGGTTTCTGCCGTCAGTAAAAAACGGAAAACATCAGGAAAAACTAGGAAAATCGGTCATGAATCAGGATATTCTGAGTGCCTCAAGAAATTTCCAAAAATTTGATTGGTTTCATTTCATACCGTCACCTTCCGGCCAAAGTATCACAAGCGCCATGCTACGTTTAAACATTTCCGCTGACATTTTATTTGTTTTTACAGAGACATTGTTGATTGAATTTGTTTAAAAATGTCACTGAATTTTGTCGGCAGCACAAAGAAAATTCAGCGAAATTTTCGGACGGCTTCATTGAACGATCTCTCTCTAAAAAAAATTAAATGGCAGCGAAAATTTTTTAACGTTGCATGGCGCTTGAGATACTTTGGCTGGAAGGTGCCGACACTGATTTTTTAAATCAAAGGGTTGCCAATTTATTCCCGAAAAAAACAGGGGATTTTGCCAAAAATTTCAGAAATATATCAGGAAAATCCAACTTTTAATAATTTTAGTACACACCCTGTTTTCCACTACGACGGAAGATCTACCATCTTGATTCTTACATTTGTTTTGCAAGGATAAACTTATCTCATGCAATCTTCTGTCATAGTTGAAAATGGCTGACTTTAAAACTTAGTAGGCGCGTACTCTTTCTGGCAGTTGTTCAAGAAAATGTGTACCAGTGGCGGAACGGACATTTTTGGACACCATCTTGGGTTTCTCGGCGGTGCGTGCCTAAATGAAAAATCCCAAATTACAATACTCAATATCTCGGAAAATACGAGATTGTTTTTATCGTTGGGAGCATAATAGTCATAAACGTCAGTAATTTGAGACAGCCGAGAAGCTAAGATTTTCCTTCAATTTCGCGTGATACCTCATGCCTACTCCCGAGTTCGAATAGTTGCTCGCTTGATTTCTACTGATCAAAAAGTAAGAAATCACGCAAATTTCATCTCAATATATTGAGAAATACGAGATATTTCGAACGTGTTCGTGAAATCCTAAGAAATTGCGCGCTTTTTATATCCAAGTGTCGACTATAAATTACTTTTGGACTTAACCGACGTTTTTCTGATATTTTCTGGATATTTCAGAAGAGATTTTCTGCGCGAAAAAATTGACAATACCTAGCTTAATTTAAAACATCAAATGATGACATGTATAAACTTAAAAATTGCTTGAAAGAATCAGAATTCCCTAATCCATGGCAAATTTTTCTGATATTTAATTTCCTGATATTTTCTGGGTTTCACTGCCGGTAGATACGCTGCGGAAGTATGTAACTCTACTGCATGTGGACAATAAGAACATAGATTGTAACAAATCTTCTCAAAAATAAAAGAATCATAATTTGTGGAACAAGCTCAATGCTCACATCCTTCGCTTGCTAGATTACTGTGTAACCTAATTAAAGTGTCTGATGAATGGACTTACGTTTTTTGGCGGGTTTCTTTCATCAGTGGAGTGTGTCATGGAGCTCTGACTCGAAGAAGGAAATGCAGCACGGCAAGCAGAGCAGTCGGAGTTGGCGACTTCGTCGGCTGTGATTTCGCGGACGTAATTTGAGGGGAACCACCCGAACTTTTTGCCGCCGTGGTCGCCGCGCCACCAGCAACCAGCTCCCTCGTCGGGTTCCATTTTGACCACATTTGAGATTACGTCACCACGGCAAAAGGACAGCTCGCTGGAGCAACGGCCCTTGAAATCGTACATAGCACGCACCAGAGTCCCGGTCGATCTGGAGATACAGATTGAGCCAATCGGACTAGAGCCGGGTGCGTTTCCTGACTGCGGGTCGCCAGAGCTCTTCTTCTTCGGCGCTGCTCTTGCTGTCATTCCTTGCCGTTTTTTCAGCACCTGAAAGCACAATGTACGAATGGGTTATTATCGAAGGAGAAAAAACATTAGCAACCAGGGCTGTCGGAAATTGACACCCGCGAATACAGCAAATCCCCCCCCCCTCCTTGGATCAATGAAATAATGAGAAAAAAAAAGCGAAAGGAGAAGAAAAAGAAGCGCGATGACATCCGGAGAGACGACAAGTTCGACAAGTCCGAGAGACGAGAGACAACTCTCCATGCGGCGGGATGAAATCCGGAGAGGGACGTACAACTCTCCATACGGCGGGATGAAATCCGGAGAGGGACGTACAACTCTCCATACGACGCGATGAAATCCGGAGAGGGACGTACGACTCTCCATACGACGGGATGAAATCCGGAGAGGGACGTACAACTCTCCATACGACGGGATGAAATCCGGAGAGGGACGTACAACTCTCCATACGACGCGATGAAATCCGGAGAGGGACGTACAACTCTCCTAACGACGGGATGAAATCCGGAGAGGGACGTACGACTCTCCATACGACGCGATGAAATCCGGAGAGGGACGTACGACTCTCCATACGACGGGATGAAATCCGGAGAGGGACGTACGACTCTCCATACGACGCGATGAAATCCGGAGAGGGACGTACAACTCTCCTAACGACGGGATGAAATCCGGAGAGGGACGTACAACTCTCCATACGGCGCGATGAAATCCGGAGAGGGACGTACAACTCTCCATACGACGCGATGAAATCCGGAGAGGGACGTACAACTCTCCATACGGTGCGACGAAATCCTGGGGGGGGGGACGTAGGGATACCTTTTGTGACGTAAAGGACTTGTCCACGGACTTGCCATTGTAGTGTGGACTATTGAACACCCCCCCCCTCCAAAAAAATAAAAAACAAAAAACAAAAACCACAGAAAAACGTGCGATGTAAAATTCGTATTAACATTTTACGCTTTGATAACAATTTTATGGAAAAATATTGAGAAGAAAGAAGGTTTCACTTTGTTTGCCTGCAGCCCGGAACAAAGTTTTTTCATGAGTAAAACAAAAAGGCCTGATTTGGGCTTGAAATCTACCCCCGAGGTACGGTGCATTAACTTCTGAACACCATACATACATGGTGAGGAGGGAGTGTTGACTTGAAACTCATGTAAGAATAAGATGTCTGATTTCTTACCTGCTCTAGAACAGCTAATTTCCTCAGCAGGTCCTCGTGTATCTCTCTCTCCTCGTCAACGGACTTGGCTCCATATTTCAGTTTACGCTTCTGCTCTACATCTTGAAAAAACAGGATCGTCGCTATTGGATTGCCGTAAAACATCCGTTTCGAGTCTTCATAAGAAGTGCTCTAAAAAAAAGAAGGCAAAAAAAAAAATGTTCACAATGAAAAATGAAAAATGAAAAATGAAAAATGAAAAATGAAAAATGAAAAATGAAAAATGAATAATTTAATTAAATTGAACGGAACAATATGCAAAGAATTCGCAAACATCAGGGCTCCTTACAATTTGTTTCATTTTCTTTTAAATATGCCTAGCATAACTGGAGGTAGTAATATGCATATTATGGGTAGTATGGTTGAATTTTCAACATTCTAATTCCTTAATTTTTTTTTTTTTAAGTTAGCCTTACTACCTCTTAGATACCATTTATGAAATGCTTAGTGCTAATATTCGGATGTTTCGACCCACTCTTCCCCTCAAAATGTTTTTCTGAACGTAACAATGAAATGGTGTAACGCTCTCATCAACCCTCTCTCTCCTCCAAAGCGTTGCGTATTTGATAAGTGACCCCTTAAAACCGTGTGCACAATGTATTTAACTGCTTGAAATACGCAAATGTATACTTGGACCGCGTTTAGCAAAAAGGAACCAAGTCATATCAGCTATTGCCAAATTTAACTGGGAATTTTGTTTTTTACAAGAGAATATTTGTGCGGATTCCCTTGAAAATTTCGAGGAATTTGCTTCGTACTGAGCAGAAAATTCACTGAGATTTGCACAAAAATCAGCACAACAGTTTGCATGTAAAAAATTAAATGACGCGATTAAATGGCAATGGCTGATGTGGCTTGGTTCCTTTCTGCTTAACGCGGTTCACTTAAGACCGTCCACGGGGAAAGAAACGTTAGTTCGCGGAGTCGAAATTGTTCGTAGAGGTATTTTTTTGGAGTTCGGTCAGTTTCCATGGCATCCTAAAAAATTACTTGAGACAGATTAAGTTTATGTTTGTGCCAAATGCAGGACGGAAAGTTGATTGCTTTTCAAAACAGCAGTTTCTTACCTGCCCTGAACTTGAGAGATTTAAAGTTCAAATAACTTTTCCTCGAAACTACGTTCTTTTTATTGCTAACTTCAGACACCCGTAACCCCAATTTGATGTGAAAGTGGGCGTTTTTTTGTCCAAAAATGACAGGTCTGTCTTCATAAACTCTTGAAGAGCATTAACTTATCAAAAAGTCTATAAAACCGTTCGGCAATATTTTTAGCAAATCCTTTTTTGATATTTTTTTTAGCAATATTTACGCAGGTATAAGAAAACCTTCTGCACTAAGAACTACTTTTTTTTTTTTAAAAAAAAAAACATTTTTCCAAACATTTTAAGAGTTAGGAGACTGTAGGAGATATTTACAGGATTTTTAAACGCTTTTTCGCACAAATACCCAAAAAGGGTCTCGTGAAAAATAAATTTTAACAGTTTTTTTAAAGAGTTAATTTTTCAAAATTCACGAGTCTTTCATAGGGCTAGTTAATATTTCCGATTACTCGAAAATCGCGGAAAGTCGTTGATTAAGCCCCCCCCCCCCCCACGCGAAAATCGTTGATCAAGCCCTAAAAAAAAAAGTCATCATTTCTTGTGGACGCAAGCAAAATTGTGGAGAGCAGGAAACTTTATCAGCCCCCGTTTTTTACACAAGTTTACAACGGTTGCTACAAGAGCCTCTACTTTTTAGCACCAGTGACGCAATTTTGAGTATGGTGGACGCTGGTCCCTTTTCCCGTGGACGGTACCATCCGTTCGAATAACATTAAAGAATCCATACAAAATTCGAAGTAAAAATTACAACAGCCACTCTCTCAATTTAAAGCATCTTTAAAATATTAAAATATGACCGAGGAGTTCGACCCAGTAGTTGCTGAGAAGGGGTAGGAAAACCCTCGTCCTCGTCGTCAGCCGCCATTTCGAACGGCGGAGGGTGGAGCCAGGCGTGCTAGGCCGCGCCCTGCATCCCCAACCCCAAGGACCTTAAATAGCATCTCATCCCCAGGGACTCGTCCAGTAATCGAATTACGCTCCCGAGAGGGCTCTTCAATCCAATTACGAGCAATCACCTTTTGTAGTGCAATAGTTGATTTGTTTTTATACATTTTTAACACCGTGTTGAAACTTGATACCCAACGAGTGATAGTGCCTGATAGACCTTCTGGAATTCCATTCATCCCTTAACGAGTGTTTAAAACCCTTCACGCACACGTGACTCCTTCGCAATTTCTGATTTTTCTCTGATCGAGAGTTCGCGTATAGAATCAAGCAAAAAAAGACTTAATGACTTACAATTTCAGCGAATCGCATAAGCTATGATACATCAACGTCGGTATTTGAAATTTAGTACGGTTAAGATTTCAAAATTAGAGAATAGAGATCATTTTGATAATACGCTTTCAACTTCGAATCACTGAATTTGCATGCTCTTAAATACGGAAATTCCGCGATTCGCCCGTTTGGTAAGGATGACGAATAGCAATCCAGAGGTATTATACAACCTTCATCATGCAGGGAACGGAAACCACGCGCATCGATCGAGTAAGGTTGTGTCGACTCAGGCGGACTCATCCTCGGGCACTCCGCCCACATGTTTAAGGTAAATTTATTCGTTTAACCACCAGCAGCGGGCTGATAATCGACATTGATAGACATCTATAGACAAAAAGGACACAGGGAGTATGGAGCGATTCTATTGGTTGAAATGTGTGGTTCCTATAGACTACGGGAGAAAATGATGGACTAACTGTCGGGTTTCTCGTGGGTTGCCGTAGTTAGTCTATTGCAACCACCCGCTTCCACCAATAGGATTCCTCCATATCCCTTTTGCCTTTTTTGTGAATAGCTTTGTCTATCAATTTCAATAATGGGCCCGCTGGTCGAGATAGTTCTATAACCCTTGATACAGGACCTTATTACTAATTGGATAGGGGGCTTCTCAACTATTACTAATCACTTGATGGCTCGCTAACGCTGACGGAGGCTTGTGAGGAGGAAAGTGAGGACAGGCCAAGGCTTACACAATCCTCCCACATGTAAAGCAACAGGATATTTCAATAGAATTAGTTTTGTCAGCAATTTTTTAGGTATTTACTGCGTTATTTCATTGGTCTTTTGGGGGATGGGTGGGGGTCAAGAAGTCAGCCAAAACGGCTGAAGTAATATTTTTGTAGATCCTAAATTAAGCATTTCTGTAATCTAGAACATCATTTTCAAGAAAATTTGAAAACTATATCAAATGACTGAAGTAAAGTTTAGGAAAAAATTGGCGGGCGCAACCGGTATCTGACGAATGCTTTTCACATTGCTTATACTCGTTTCATTTTTTATTTTTACAACAAAAAAATTAAACCTTGTAACGCCTTGAAACTGTCGATGAATTTTCTGAGGTTCGAAAGAATATGCTCACAAAATCTCAATGAACAAGGCAGGCTTGGCAGTATTCTGTATTGCAAAAATAAAACACGAGAGAAAAGTAAGCAACTTATGATAAAGTTATAGGATCATTCAGGTGTTTAATCCGTCCAATAATTAATTATTAAAGTTTTTGAAATATTTGTAAAACTGAAAATCAGGTGAAAGTTACGGATTTGCGAAATTCATTTAAGTGCAGTACCTATCATGAAAGTTGCTTCAAATTATTTTGTGGTCAAAACTGGGTATTTAAATGTTTGACGCCAAGATACATCGTCACATTTTTCAGGACTTCTTTGCCAAGCCAAGGGGAAACCGAAAAACATAAAGAAGGGAAAACTCATTTTAAATTGAAAAAGCGTCATCAATTCCTAAAACACCAGCTAATTATTCATGTCAGTAGTGCGTACATTCATTTTATGAGTGACCTCAAGAGTGTTTTATGGGTCGATCCCACGGAGGCTTGTCCCGCTTTGTGAGCCTTTCTGTATTCGCGCACATTTTTAAAATTGTCTCCTGTCATTTTTGGAAAATTGTTGAGAACTATGATGCCTGAAAAAGAGATCAATGTGTTCCTATACCCTCTTGTAGATTGGCCGATAAGTGAGAGAGAACTTAAATTACCTAAATCGACCAGAGATCATTATCGCACAAAGTTACAGCGTTGGGACCGTGTTCATAGTCATTCCTCGAACAGCTTTTTTCTTTAGGACGATCTTAAATTATTTACACTGAAATTAAAGAAAGAGGCCTTCAAAGTGATTACAGTGATCTGACACTACAAAACATAAACATACTTCGATTTTGATAAACTTTTAGGCGACGGACCCGCCTAGAAATTTTCAAAATTTGTAATATTTTTTTCTTCTGTACTTTACAATTTCTTTCGTATTCGCAAATTGTCGTAATCCCTCACAAGGATATTATTTCTGAAGTCAGACTGCCGAATTCCACTGGAATAATGTCTAATAAAATAGATACTAATTACGTTACTAAATACTAGAACGGCCGATTTTTCTCAAATCCTATTTTTACGATGAATTTTTCCTCAAATCCTGATTGACCTCAAATCCTCATAGAGTCGGGAAAATCCTGATGCTGGACACCCTGTGAACCTGAGTTTGACCATATCTCAGTGCCTTAGTCATCTTTGCTTTGAGTGCCGAATTTCAAAATCATTTTTCTAAATTTTCAGTTTGCATGGAGTAAAACCTGGCCCATTAATTTTGGCGGGACAGTACGGGACCAGTTATTTCACAAACGCTTCGGGGGACCTGAGTGAGGATGAGCTACCAAGCTGCGCCTACGCAAGTCGGTCTGCCCACCACGTTTCGCCTTACATCGACGTCCATGACCGCGGTAAGTACATTATTCAAGAGGAGAGTCATCATTTCCAATTTCATAAAAATAATTTAACTATGTCCACAGTACGAACTTTAAAAATGCAACGAAAAAAGTGCTGGGGCTAACCCCTAGAATAATTGTGGTACTACCCCAATTTGTTGGATTATATGGACATTTCCAATTAATTGTGTTAGTACCGCAACATTTGGGTTGGTAACCAAATGTTGCGAAATGTTCAAGTTGAGACTTAACCCATGAGTATCACGCCTAAGGCCACTCCCCCGGAATGTTACTTACCCCTCTTCAGATAATGAGGGGGTTTTCAAGGTAACATCGTCATTAAAATTTTATTTCACAAAAATTGTCGATAAAAATGGCTCAAAATCACTCCTGAGATCAATTTTGAAAATTTTCCTAGGGAGACCTCCCACACCCCCTAGGAGCTGGGAGTTACAGGTTTAGTAAGCGGAGAAATGAAATCAAATTCAACAGGGATGCTTGTTGATTTGTGGTAAATTGAATAAAGTGTTCGAAACATTGATAAGAGCTGCTTCATACATAATTCAATACAAAACACGTGTCGAACAAATGTAATTCGAGTATGTCTTGTTCGACAAACGTGCAAATCGATCCTTGGTAGGAAGTCTGCGGAACAATCTGTCGTCCGCTGACAAAAAGGCGTATCTACACTTGTAGATGAGCCCGAAGAGGCATTGAATTGTATGGACGACAGGATTCATTGCAGAAAGTAATTACGCCCTTACGTCAGGAGGGCGAGGTATTAGGGACCGGCCGCGGCAGGTGGAGAAATTAGCGTACACTTCTTGTGCAACAGCTTGTAAAATGATGCGGGACGATGGTGTGGGTCACACTGTGACGTCATATAGTGTCGCGAGCCGCATCAACACAGAGAGACTTGACACTGCTTTTGCGTTCACAGTTTTTGAGACAAAAAGGGTGTCTAGTTTTTTTTTTTCATTTTGGGGAATCCTGATTTTTGACTGCTAAATCCTGGTATGATTTTTCGAAATCCTGATCAAATCCTGATTTTGAATGTAACTCCACAAAAATAGCTCGATAAAAAAATCCGATCGGGCGGCCGATTTTTCTCAAATTCTGATTTTACGACCGATTTTTCCTCAAATCCTGATGAAATCGGGATGAAATCCTGATGATTCACCTGACTACTGTCTTGTCTGAAACGACGTCAATTTTTGCACACTAACTGCTTTCTCATAGATCTCGTTCTCGGAAGAATTTAGGATGAATTTGCTTGTTTTAGGCGGAGCAAACGGTGTGCTGATTTGAAAATTGAAATAGTTAAAAAATAAATCCGATCAGGTTTCAAATGTACATTTTACAATAGTGGAAAGCTAATTTAACCACGGGAGTTGTTAAATTAGCATTTTTTTATTGTGAAATCTACATTGAAATATAGCGGACACTTGTTTTAAATACAAAATTGTTAAATCAGCAATTTCATTTTTTCCGTGTAGCTGATTCAGTCAGTTCATTTAAACTAGAGAAGACGAATTGATTAAGGAACTGATTTCCGAAAATATGGGCGTTACTGCTCTCTTCGGTAACACGCGCGGCAAATATGTTCAATTCGATCAATACACACTGGAAAAAAAAAAAAAAAAACACATTGGATATCTAGAGTCCAGACTCTTGAAAACATTGACAAGAAAAAATACTCTTGATTCAACCGGATTTTTGCTTGAATCAAAACGAAATCCGCTTAAATTAAGAGGCTTGGTTCTTGATTTAAGTTAGATTCTGATTGAATCAAGAGTACTTTTATCGATGTTTTTAAGAGTCTGGACTCTGGATCCAATGTGTTTTTTTTCCAGTGCAGCTATGATGTATATGTATGAATCGAACCTAAACTTGCAAGTTTGTTTAAGCTGTGATTGTATTGTGATTGTATTGTCAATAAATGTGATTGGATTGTTGGACAGAAGACGGTGTTTTGGTGGCCGGCGAATCGGAGCATTTTTTCGGGAGCAATGGGAGCCCCTACCGAGTGCAGCGGCATGCAGCCAACATTAGGGAAAGGAAGAGGATGTTAAGGTCAGCAGAAACCTCCAACTCGCTTCGTCCAAGTCGCGCCAACTCAGAGCGACCTCCTGTCAAAATGTAAGGCCCCACACTTGAGAACAAGAAAACGTTTCACATGCGGAATTGCTTCTTAAAACCTCCCACAAATCAGCCCGTTCGCGACCACGAATCAAGTCACTCTCTCAGTATAAATTCGATCAGCAAGAAATCATATTGTGAATTTTCCGATCCTCTTATGTGATATTAGGAAGACATTAAGAGGATATCAGTATGACATCCGTGTTTTCAGCGTATCAGTACATTGGAAAAAAACCACATTGGATCTATAGTCCAGACTCTTAAAAACATTGACAAGAAAAAGGACTCTCGATTCAATCAGATTTAAGCTTAAATCAAAAGGAAATTCGCTCAAATTAAGAGGCTTGGTTCTTGATTTAAGCTTAAATCTGATTGAATCAAGAGTATTTTTTCTTGTCGATGTTTTTAAGAGTCTGGTTTCTAGATCCAAGGTGTTTTCCTTTGTGTATGTCATACGCATGATATCATCTTGGTGCAGAATATACCGATATCATGCTAGTTTTTTCTGGCTGCAGCATGTTATCATACTGATATCATTTTGAGCCTGCCTGTTATCATACTGATATTTGTGTTAAGTCTGTATGACATCATACTGACTCAGCATAATATCATACTGATTCGGCATGATATGCTGATCGAGTTTACCAGAGTCTATCACTCCGTCAGGGTCGCAAGACGGAGTTTTCACAGAATTTACAAAATGAAATTCCCTGACATTCCCTTGATTTTCCTAGCAAATTTTAGTTGAATCCCCTGGCTTTTGAAGCAATTCTTCGTAAAATTCAAAGATCATAATGATGTTTGAATGATCATCCAAGGCACGAGGAGTTATTCGATGATCATCACGACAGTTTTGCCGAATTGTTGCAGTTTCTTAATCCGCAGAAACTCGCTTAATCTGACCCGTAAATTCCATATAGTCAAACAAGAACGGACCATATTACAATTCAGCAACATTGTCGCGATGACCTTTGGAGAAATGTTTGTGCCTCGGTAGATCATTTAAGTATCATCAAAATGTTTAACTTTTACAAGGGAATACAATAATATGCAGGATGGTCAAAAATAGTCATTTCCTAACCCGAACACGCAACATGTTGTGTTGTTCAAAACACAAACCACATTCTGGTAAATAATACGGGTGATTTAACGATTTTTCCCTGATATGTCATTCTCATAATTTTTACTGACATTTTCCGGGTTTCAGTTACAAACTTTGGAAAATTTCCTGACAATTTCCGGGTCCCGCTATACATGATAGTTAATTGTACTACCTTTTTGAAAATTCAGATAGACTTCTCGTTCAGATTGAGCTTATTTTTTTTTTTTTTTCATCATGATCGGTTTTAAAATTATCTGATTCGTTAAATGGCAGATCCTCTCCTAAAACTTTAGAAATATTACTTAGATATTTTCTAAGCAATACGAAAGATACCTGAGTACGAAGATTCAAAAAGATACTAGTAACAAACAGCGGAGGACCGGATTATCATTTTCAACAATAGTTCATACTATGGATGGAAATAGGACTCCATGCGAGAAATATGCTTTGAAATTCAAACAGCGATGGAATATAATACATGAAACATTACAACCAATCGATGGGAAAGTGTTGACACTGTTAATTTTCCTTGACTACATTTTCCTGGATTACTTTTTCATTCTTCATACTTATTTCCTTTCCGAAGCGATAAAAACATTTTTAAAGGTGGATAACTTAAAAAAGTACCTAAAGAAACAACTTAAAACGGGACTAAGGCCGCAAATAATAAACATAAAATAAAATAAAAAACCCGGGGCGTTTAGCAGGGATCACACCTGCATTTTCAACCGGCAAAACAAGAAAATTATAAGAAGGACACTATGAGCCTCACCGTTGTTATTCAGTCTCACAATAACAACGGTGAGGCTGTGTCCTTCTAAAAATTTTCTTGTTTTGCCGGTTGAAAATGCGGGTGTGATCCCTGCGAAACGTCCCGGGTTTTTTATTTTATTTTATGTCAATTATTTGCGGCCTTAGTCCCGTTTTAAGTTGTTTCTTTAGAAATGTTTCGGGCCGACTAAGTTGTTTTTTTCTTAAAAAAGTATTGTGCATCGAAAATAAATGACACTTCTATACTATTCCAATGGATGTACTATTGAAAAGTTTCTCCGCGCCTACTCTGCGCTGGATGCAATTCAGTTTTTGCAACGCTAGGTTTTCATTTTGAAAATTAGGAATGAAGCTTTCGTTGCGTTTCGTAAGCTCGAAATGCATGAAACCCTGAATGAACAATGAGCTAAATTACAATAAAGAAGAAGAAAGAGTTAAATAAGTATAACAACTGCAAAATTACTGCAGGAAAATAAGATTCCACTGTCATCTACATGCTGCACCTCTTTCGATGTGAAACCCCCAAGCCACATATCTCAGTTTGCGACGTTGCAGACTTCTTGTTATACTTTAAATAGAGAACTACTCAACGTCAATTCTTAAAAATTGTCGTGATTTTTCTTCTTTGTGCGGAATAAATTCTGAGAAAACCTCAAGGAATGATGTCGATTTCGTCTCTTAATAAAACAAATGACAGGAGCGGATATTTTTTAACACCACAAATGAGATAAGTGCGGTTCGGGAGTTCACCGTCGATTTTTAATTTTTACTTTTAAAAAACGAAACTAATTGATGGAATGATAAGTTCCACGCTGTTTGTTGGTTTACAGAACTCAGTTATAAAAAAGACAAAAGTAAAAATCAGCTAAGCGTACATGAGGAGATCGATAAAACATCGTTGTCGATATTTAAAACCATATTTCTCGTGTGGGGCCTTATAGAGTAAGTTAAATGTAAAGATTCACGATACATGTAAACGATTATGACTGATTAGGTACAGTCCAACTTTGGCCGTCTTTTTGACCCCACCACCCACTTGAAAGGCACTTGTGAGACAACAAGTTACCCCCTTTTGAGGCGCAACCCCCC